TATGTGGGGATGTCATTCTCCGAGTCATGTCATTCTCCAGCAGAGCAAGTTTGGTGTTACCAGTGGCGAACCGTGTCTATCACAACTGGACCTTCTGTAGACACACACACACACGCCGCCGCCAGGGCATTCGATCAAGGATGTAGAATACCTTGGTTGAAGGATATTCTACCAAGACCCAGAACAAGATCTGATTGGTTGCTTTCTTTTCTAACACAAAACCACTGAAATGCGTAGTGCATGGTCCGAGAAGGACAAACAAATCAACGTAACACTGTAATGTTACAGATCAACAACACAGGTACGATTCTCATTCATTTTATATACATTTTATTAAATTTTATTCATATAATTAAATCGATTTTTTGTTTGTTTTATCTGGGTGTTCCAGGGTATTCTCTGAATACCTTGAAGGCCCTGACGGTTCGCCACTGGGTGTTACACAGCTAATATGATAGCTTCCTCTATGGAGGTTTACAGTGTCAAAAAAGTTCGCTATTGGTCAGCATTCATTCAAAACTTCACACTTACTTTTGAGATATTTTACACATCAAGTTTCAAAGGTTTTATTGTCACATGCACAGTAGCTACAGTGTAGATGGTGAAAATCCCAGTTCCCAGGTTCCCCCAACAATGCAACATACATATATATAATACATGCCAATGTGCAAGTAATGCAGATGTAGTAAGTAGACTATATACAGAAATCATAATCAAGCACCTTCATATATCAGTGACTGCCTATAAGGTTACATCCCAAATAAAACTCTCAGATCTTCCACTGCCTTGCTTTTAGAAGTTCCTAAGGGTGTTACACAAGTAATCTGGGGGGATGTAAACTGTTTAGCTCAAGAGGCAGCAATGGATGATGCATATATTTGTGACATACACCTTTTATCTGTAATGTTTAACAGCTTGTTGCATCAATAGGTTCTGTCATGCTGCTGCACCCGTACTCTCACACTGCTTTAAGAGCTTAATATTCAGGTTATTGACATGCGAGTGAAGCTTGGACTTGCTTAGTAATATTTCAGTCCTGGCTCAGGGGGGAATCTCCAGGACTAATGTAGAGTTGTTCGGCTCTGAAATTACTTTTATTTATTTTATAATGGGTACCATTTTGTCATGGCAAACGTTGGTCATCATAACTTCATTGTCACATATGAAGTACTGTTCGCAAGATGATTGTTAAAAAAACAAAAAAAATACTGGTTATTAAGTTGTTATTTTCTGTTGCAAATACTTCAATAGAGTTATAAGTAGAAGCAGCAAATAGTACATATTCTTAATTTAAGCCCCCATAAAAATTCAAGGTCCTACACTTACCGTAATGCTTGTTGATGGCATCTTTTCTTAGATCTTTGCTGCCTTGTAAATACCTTCAACTGTGGAAACCCATACCCCCCAGTTTGTAATGCAGGCTTTCTGTTATGAGCCCAAAAGTTAAAAAACATGATGACTTTTCTCTCTTTTCGTGATCAGGTTTTTTTTTTTCTCCGAGTAAACAAAGCTGCTTCACAGACAGAGAAGACATTATACAGTTGTTTTCTCTGACTGAAATAACAAATGACAAATAAACTTTTCAAGTTCTATAAAATGTGTTGTAAAATATCATCCCCAGCTCATCTTCAAGAACTAACTTTTACACTTCTTTGGTTCTTGCTACCTCCAGGGATTGAGTTGTACGTTGTGTTGTTGTGTTTTGTGCTTCAGCTGCGGGAGTGTCTGGAGCCAGAGGTGTACGAGCTGTTCCACAAGAAGCTGACCGAGCAGGCTCTCATCAAGGACCCCAAGTTCCTGTGGTGCTGTCATGTGAGTACCAGGGGGCACTCTTGGCTTTGTCAACAAAAATGATGGCGAACAAATGTAATTTAAGTACAGTTTTTTTAAGACAATGGAAGCGTTTATAACATTAAAGACAATGTGCAATGTTTACTGACTAAAATTTGTTTGAATTATTGTTACATTTTTTGTTGAGTTGTGTACTTACATTATCCAAACTATACATTTTCTCTGGTTGTCTGCCAGAAGCTGTCATACATTTACATTTTATTAAGTTTTAGTAACAGATTTTTACCATACAATTCTATACACCTTTTAGATCTTGGTAGTTTTTAACTCAACTTTTAACCAAATGAAGTTTACAGAGAAACAAGCTGAGCAAACTCAGCCTTTAGCTTCTGGCTTTTGGGAAACACAGATTTTTAACGTGAAATTGCTATAGTCTGTGTTTTAACGGTTGTGCATTCACACCTAATAGTCCGCTCTCTGGTGCGCACCAGACCACAGTTTGTTACATTGTTTCATTTTTCAGAAGGTTCGGTTTGCGTTCACACGGGCAAAACTCAAACGGACTATAAACTTTAAACACAAGTCATGTTCTCGGAAATTCTGTTCAACCATTGGTCAGACATTAAGGGGGTGAAAACGCAAATCCCGGCAATTTCTAGCGGAGCCTCCGCCATGGAGCATCGGCACTTTCGGCAGGTTATTCTCATGCTGCTGTTAATCTGGAGATCAACAGACACTAGCGGCCCGGCATATGATTATATAATCAGACAACGTCCGTTAAAAAACATTATTACATGGCTTTGTTGAATACTCTATTCTGATTGGTCAATTCAGAACACGTGACACGTTGTTAATCCAGAACAGACAGACCGCTGTCAAGGATTTATTGACCGTTGTTAAGGACGCTCACATCTGCACAAAGAAGTCCGTTCGATTTAACTGTATACAGTTTGGCTGAAAAGCAAACTGCATGCAGTTTGCAAGCAACGATGTTTTCAAATCTGTAATCAAAAAGCTCCTCAAAAACGCTATCGAAGCAGTTCCTGTCGTTGCTACGTTAGTTCAAACAGTAACAACGGACTATGTTTCTTAGCGGATGCATGTCAATTTAAATTAGTACATCAACGCGACACATATTCCAGTTGCCAGTTACTTTGGCATTAGGGCAGGGATATATAGATACTTTCCAAAGGTTTGACATAATGAATTGTGCCTTACTTTTAAGCAAGGCAACGTGTTTTTCAATCGGCTAATCAAAAGCTCCTCAAAACGCTATCGATAAGCAGTTCCTGCCGTTGCTACGTTAGTTCAAACAGTAACAACGGACTATTTTTCTCAGGGATGCATGTCAATTTAAATCATAGCAACTATTTTTTTAATCAATAAAAAATCATTTTCTAATCCTCAAAGCATTTAAATTAATATTGAGAGTATGTTTGTTAGATGTTGGCCATGCTAATAAGCGGGATAATGTGCGCGACTTGGTCTCATGGGGAAAGGAACACCTTCATGCGATCTAGATACCTCGCTTCTTTGAAAGATATCCGCGTTCTTGTGACACAAAAGGTGCCATTCCCAAACCGCCCCCTACACCCTACCACTCCGTTTGCGCGTCACAGCGAGGGTCCGCAATATTGAGGGCTGTTCAAAGCAACGAGTGTGGGAGCGGTGTGAGGGGAGTGGGCTCATCAAGCCCTCAAACAAGCGAGTCTGCAGCGGTGCTGACTTGAGAACGGTCTCTAGCGTGATCCGTCTCAACTGTGTGGTGTCTTGTCAGGAAACAGCTGTTTTTACAAGTAGTTCAGCAAAACTCCACTGATAAACGTGTGATGTTAACAACCTCATGATAACCTCAATATGTTTTTAACTTAGGATCATACCTGTGTTTAGTCTAGAAAATAGGTAATGTGTGCATTTTATTATAAATGTTGTGGTAATTTAACGACTGTTGCAAAATAGAAGCTTATAAACATCAGGTTTAAACTAAAAGAGCTTTGAAATCACATGAAAGATGGTTTGGATTTTTATTTGAGTTATGCATTTAAACTTTTTGTCGAAGAGATGCTGATTTTGGACCGTTGTTTTACAGTTACGGCATTTCTGTTTTCTGCCGGAGAGAGGGGAGGCGTCCCAAAAGCTGCTTGCTGATTTACTGCCCTCCTCTGGCGGAGGGAGTCCTCCGTTGGAGCGCTGCGGGGTGGCTACGACGGGAGTTCACTCCGTCAACGGAGGAGGTAGGGGATCGAGGGGTGATTTGGGATTACTGACACCTAAATACTGCGCTTCCTATGTTTTGGGTGCAGACTGCCGTTCACACCAGCAATGAACCGCTCCAGAGTTCGCAAGCAAACGCTCCGAGATACCTATTTTAGCGGACCAGAGTCCGGTTGTTTAGTTCACTTAAGAGGTATCGGGACTGTGTTCACACCGACAAATGAACCGCACCAAGCGGCTAAACGGCACCAGGGTTCGATTCAACCGGACTATACAAGGCCAGGTGTGAACCACCCAGGGTCGGCGTATGGGTGGGTATTCGCGGCCATGCCCCCAAATGAGTCACTGTGCCCCCCCTGCCAGGCCCAGGCAAGCCCTGCCACTTTGCCGTTTTTTAAATTATTTTATTAATCATATTTATAATGAAAAAACGTTTCCACTAAATCTTTTTGTGTGAAATAAATCAGAAATAAAAGAATATAAATAAAAAAACACCGCCTGAGGTGGTGCTCACTGGTGAATCTGGTGTGTTTCTTGACCATGACCCCGGGAATTTTTGATTTGTTGTTATTAATTAAAAAAAATTTCGCGCTAATTAGCAAGTCATTGGAAGACGAAGCTTAATGCTCGGACTGTCGGACAGTAATAGTATGGATATACGTAAATGGCTGCAAGGTGCAGCTGCTACACGGCCTCTCCAGACTCCTCCACCTCCTCCAGCCTCCTGGAAACGAAAAGGGAATAATGCACCATCTCCAGCTCGCCGGCGGCCACACCTCTGAAGNTGTGACATGTAAATACTACGCTTCCTATGTTTTGGTGCGGACTGTGTTCACACCAGCAATGAATCGCTCCAGAGTTCGCAAGCAAGCGCTCCGAGACCACCTATTTTAGCGGACCAGAGTCCGGTTGTTTAGTTCACTTGAGAGGTCTCGGATTGTGTTCACACCGACCCAAATGAACCGCACCAAGCGGCTAAACGCACCAGGGTTCGATTCAACCGGACTCTCCAAGGCAGGTGTGAACGCACCCTCTTGTTTAGAGAAGTCTCGCACTGAAATCTCACACTCTCTCACATTGTTGAAAGCAGCTATATACTTAGCCATCTTTCTGTACGTTAACAAACTCTAAGAAAACCAGAACCCTTTGCTTCAATTTTCACTCACATTTTCACTGCGGTTTTCCCCAGCAACAAGTCACATGACACCACCACAAACAGACCCAATCAAGTCAAAACTTAAAAAAAGTTAATTATCTGTTGGGTCGTTTTCAAAATGTTTTCATATACATATAAAAACAATGCCCTGTGAAATGACTTTGCAGGTCATTTAGCGACTGCAGCATTCCTTGCGCAATATTGGACAAATTTAAAACATTGTCACTGAAACACAAAAATTATAGGGGCTACGTTAAAAAAATATTCAAGTTACCCTGTAAAGATGTCCTAACAATATTATCAGTAATTCACACCAGTCATTATGCAACTCTGCCACTATACTAGCAGAACCATTCGCCCCCTCTGAGTCCCCCCCAGCCGAGCTAACAGAGCCCCCTGCAGCTGTTGAGGAGAGCGGTAAGCAGCCTCAGTCAGATCTCTGCATGGAACCAGTACATTTACCGCCTGTGAGGGTTTGTTTTCTCTTAACCGGTTGTTGCTCCGGTTACACTAACAGAACCTACAGCAGCGGCAGCAGCAGAAAGCTTCGCAGCAGAGCCCGCCGAGCCTCAGCCTGAAGCTGTGGCAGAGAGCGGTAAGACCAACGAGAGGACGGAGCGGGGAAGCGCTTTTCCCATTTCAAACACCTTCTCTCCTATTTTATTGTTTTAGTATTTATCCCTCATTACAGCTCTTCTCCCTGACTGTTTTGTGTTTTTATATTGTTTGGGTAATGATAATGATAAAGGTTAACACACGAGTAACATGTTAAGGATGTTTATACAGGAGGCTGCATGAACCTCGACCTCGGTGCAGACACTGACACTATTTCCCATTTTGTTAATTTCAAACACCTTCTCTCCTGTGTATTGTTTTAGTATTCATCCCTCATTACAGATCTTCTCCCTGCCTGTTTTCTTTTATGTTTACACTGTTTGGGTACTGATAATGATAAAAGTTAACTTAACACACATGAGTATTTGTTAAGGATGTTTTATACAGGAGGCAGCTGCAGTTGATTGCATGAACTTTGACTGTGCCCTCTTCGTGCATGTATCACTTTGTATTTAGTGATACATCCTCTAACCTTAACCCTTTTCAGTTTCAGTAGATCTTTGGACACTCACGCACTCACCTCGTTCTGAAATGTTTTTGTGGGATATAGTCGTTAGAATTTTCAGTATTTATTACAAATATCTTGGCTCCTGTTGGCTTTGTTATATTTGTGATTTAGAATGTATTCCTTCCTCTTAAGATTGTTTCCAAACTAACTTTAATTGATAATATTGTTTATAAGTGGAAGTTGCCCTTTAAGGTGGATATTGTGTTTTACCTCTAAACATATTGTTTTTGTAATGCTGTGTCTCAGGGGTAAAAAGTCTTTACAGCAGAGGGAAAAAAAACGTACAGAAGTTATAACTCCTTACTCTTCTCGATGTACGTCTCTGTAGAGGTCACCCACACATCGGGCAGCTTCCACTTGTTACTAGTGTGCATGCTCTGCCTAATGTTCCCAGGGTGAAGCGGAGGAAGTGCATGTATCCCGACGGTCCTCCCCTTTTTAATAATCTCTTTAATAATCTAACCCGTACTATTGATTGCCCTAACAGCAGCAGAGCCAGTGGTAGAAGCCCCCCCAGAGGAGGCAGCTGAACCCCCTGCTGCTCCTGTAGTGGAGGAGGGTAAGACATGAGATGAGAGGAAACTCTGATCTAATTCATTTATTAAAAAAATGACGAGGTGCCATTTACACTTCTGCTTTCCCATTTGACGCCAGTCTGTGCAGTAGATAACACTACAGCTCAGTTAAAGAGTAACTAAGGGTTTATTTCAACTTCAACCCAATTTTTCTAATGGGGACAACAATTTAGCAGATTGCAGCCATTAAGCTGTCTGCAATACAGAGTTCAATGTGTGTACTCTAAAATGAATTGTTTTTGCCACTGAAGAGTTCAGATTCCTTTTTATTAGTGTCTCACAACTTTATGGAAAGGACCCTGCAGAGGAGTTTTTCATTGCTGTCTTTTCGGCTACAAGTCACATGACACAATGACAAACATTTATTTCTCACAAGGGACCTTTTGCATAATTATGTCAGACGCATGTAACAACACTCTTGCCACAAGTGATTACATTGCAGCTCATATAGCTGCTGCAGCTTTCTCGATTCGGACTAGTTAAAAAATATATATTGTCCCCTTAAAAACAAAAGCATGGTAAAATAGGGTCAATAGTAATCTGTTGTTACCATTGAATGCATATTGTAGATAATATCTCTTGTGCATATCAGAGGTCATTATGTAACTCTGCCACTATACTAGCAGAACCCTCCGCCCCCTGTGAGCCCCCCCCAGCCGAGCTAACAGAGCCCCCTGCAGCTGTTGAGGA